TTTTTAATATGTAAATTATTTATTTGTATATTCATTCATACATTCATTCATTTATTTATTTATTTATTGAATAGTTATTTAGTTATTGATTTTGTTATTGCATTTTAGAATATCTTAACTGTATTGCTGTTGACATCTTTTGACTTTGTTTATAAGAGGATTTTGTATTCTTTTCTCAAAGGGTTTTCAAAGTGTTCAGTATTAATCACAACATAATTTTTTTCTGTACATATAAAATTCTTGATATTGACAATGATTAAACAATTCAATTTTATGATTGAACTTTTCCGACACAATATGTTTCTTCAGTCATTTGCAAACTATACAGTGTATGTCAATATGAATAACAATATAATTATCAACAATTGCATAAAAGGAAAACAGAACAAGAGAATAAATAAAATAAACACATATTACATTCAGGTAACTTGAGAAATGAAATGGCCTTTATTTACTAATCAATAATTGTAGTCTTACTTATATAGTAACAACTGTATATGTTTCACCCTTTATTTCTAGGTCAAATATTCCACGTGAGAGTGCCATGATAGGAATTTAAGTAATTTAAGAGTGTTGTCAAATTACATGAATTTCTTGAACCAATGAGAATCCATGTGTAGTTAATGAAATGGAATTGAAAAGGGAAAGTGTGACAAAAGATACCACTGGCAGAGACCTGACAGCAGGGTCTAAAGGGGGGTTTAATGTCAAAATTGATAGAAATTGATCGTAGACTATTCTATCTACTATTTTGATTGCTGATGTTTATACTGTAACTGATTAATTTTACAGGTGAAACAAAAACCAATAAGCATCCTTACAAGGTATGATGAAATATATTTTTCAAAAGCATAGGGTGCCATAAAGATTCCTGACAGTGAACTCACAGAAAATGCTACTCCACCCCCTCCCGCATACCACCCTAATCCAAATAAGTGCACTTATATTATTATATCTAAGTGATAGAAAGAATTGTATGTTATCTTCAAATCCTAATGTTAGGATCTACCATCAATCCCCCTGCCAGCCCCACCCCCTTAAGACCTCCATATGAAAAATCCCAAATACGTCCCTGCACAAGACTCGCAGTTAAGGTTAATTATAGGTAACTGGCTATGATAAACTATTTTCTTGCATCTTTTTCCTGAACTCAATATACTCGGTGTTCTTCTGTCATTTTTTAAGTAATATATACAGTATGAGTGGCCGTGTTGTATCAGATATACAACCACGAGGCGTAGCCAAGAGTTTGTATATCTGATACAACACGGACACGAATACTGTATATGGCTTATCAAACGTCTAGGTTAGTTCCTTTGTGTTTCACTAACATTTTCAAAATTAAAGTGAATTTGGCCAAGAAAATCCAACTTAAAGTTTATGCAAATGAACACAGTTTTGTATCAGATTTACAACACTCTTCACGATCGTGATTTCTGTTGTGTTTTCCTCATTAATTATTCATGAGTTTGATAATGTGTTTTAAATCTCTTAATCTCAGGAAAAAGTTTTTGCAATTATGATATATTATACATGTAATGTGAAAAATAAACAGCTCATTTATTAGTCAAAAGAAAATATATTTATGTGATGATTTATCTATAAATTTATATCAAAGCTATCGATATTTTCTTGCAGAAATGTTCATTGTGTGAAGAGAAGAATGGCAATGCAGCCAAAAAGTGTAAAAAATGCAAAAATGATTTTAACATCATTTCAACTCATGACTGGGAGGCATTGCAAAGAAAGGGCAAGACATGTCCCACTGATCAAAGGAAAAAGATGCAAATGAGGGTAATTATTATCAAAATTTTTTGCAGTAATAGATATACACACGGAATCTTTCATATATTCCTGCAAGATTTTGTAGAGAAATTACAAATAAACTATGAAATAAAATTAAGTAAATACTATTAAACAAGCAGTAGCTATATTTAGTGACTAATAGTTCAATTAAATGCTAATTGCTAAGTACCCCTTAAGTACAAGAATTACAATTCCCCTATTAAAAAATAAATGGATACCATTTAATTTTATGGTTTAACTACATACTGATTGCTCTAATATAATGAAACCCTGCCAAGTGAACATGAAAAATGGTTCAAGATATTTGATGAAATTTTTTACCTTACTTACCTTAAATAATTATAACTAGCTGAATGACAGAGTCAGAGAATGATTTATTTATTTTCTTTGGCACAGGCAAATATACTTCATTCCCAACATGACTGGGAAATCATTATCTTGGGCTACAAGCGGCACAGCAGAGGTAACAATGACGATGATGATGATTAGCATAGTACGTTACTTTGTTGATGTGCTGAAATTCAGTGGGCACGATTTGGATGTATAGTTTATGATATGTTGTTGCATAGTCCAGCACACTGTATTACTGACCCAATACACCAGTTTCGAGTTCCAAATTACCGCTGTTTTCCTTGATTACAGACTCATTTACACAGGGTTAGCCTCGCATCAGTATTTAAATATTCACAAATACCAACGGTAAAGTAAAGAATGCACAACTTCAACAATACAAACACTTTGAAACTCGACGGACCTTGACTGGAACACGTGAATATTCTGCACAAACTCGAGCTGGCTAACCCTGTGCAAATGAGTCAAGGGACACAACAGTAGTTTGGAATTCGAAAGGGGTCTATTCTTGCTTGAATTAGTTGGGACCTCCTATTCAAGGATTTTCAACCTTGCTTTTCTGAGTTTAGTGGACTCAGCTTAAAAAGTTTGCATTTGTCTTGAATGGTTGATATTGACATAGTAACCTATCAAGGGTAGCATCCTTGCTCAATCTACCTATGTCCCATGCAAACACTTGATAATCATATTAATGATTGACTGCTGACCTTAACTTGTTGGTGGGTTAACTGATAATGTGTATTGTTCAAGTTGATATAAATAGGACCAGAGTAAAACATCTATTTTATGATTTGTGTATGCATGTTGTATTTCAATGACAACTAGCTTGCTTTTGTTAGCTGGCTTTGCAGTACAGAGCCTTTTATGGTTTCATGATTTTTATAGGTGTTCCACCATTCCACAACCCCACACAATCTAAACCTTTGAGCCACCTTTGAGCAATTAGTGCATTTAGCCTCATATAAATATTATTATTACTATTATATAATATTATGGAATTTGGTAGGAAATGCTGCTTGGGCAAGTGATTTACTATCAACATCATCACATATTATGTTCTTTTCATCACCCCGCTCTAATCCTTGCAACATGTGCCCCCGTGTGCATCATCTAGGTCAGTGGGGATCTAAAACTGTACTGTTTTCAAAACAAGCCCTCAAAATTTTTTCAGGCGGGATTGTGCACCCCCTGCACTCCATAGCTGGGTCTATCACTGCAGGTCTCAACATAAATACAAAAATAATGAAATACTCACGGTATGAATTATATTACTGATAACAATAAAATTATACAGGTACCAGTTTTTATACCTATGGAACCCCCGGCTTGGGCGAACAGTTCATTGGTAATGACAAAGCCGGAGGAAGGAGTGAAGATGGGAAAGATGGTCATAAAAATGTTTACTGCATTCATGAAAGGTACAAGTATATGGCATTATTGTGATTTGACAGTTTTTACTGCATATTATAATCAAACTTTTCCGAAATAACAGTCATCTCCAGCATCAAAAACCTCAAGAGAAACGCGAAATACCAGTTGAGTTCATATCACGTTGCAACTATCATAAGTCTTCTGTGGGTTGCACTGTCATTTATTAATCTATATTACCACCTTATTCAGTAAGGGACCGGATTATCCAGAGACTCTTACTTTCTTTTTGTTCAACAGAACAAAAGCAAGACAACATCAGAAACAACGATGGGCCAAAGAAAAATATAATCAACAATAGAGACAGTGAACTTGAGAACAACAACAAAAGACCAACAAATTACAGCAGCAACAACGAAATACAAACAAACAACAGCAGTAACAACGATGGACCAACAAACAACAGCAGTAACAACGATGGACCAA